AAAATAAATAAAGGAAAAAGAAAGAGTTCATGAAAAAAAAAAAAAGAGGCTCTTAGGAAAAGTATTCTCAAGATATGTCAACCAGTATTTTAGGGCCAACTTCTCTTTTCCAACAGAATCTTTACGGAATTGTAGATAAGAGTGTAAGTCCTAGGTCTAGCTTGGTATTGTCTTTCAAAGTGATTGTAAAATGAATTAATACACGCAAATAATTCAGTGTAGAGCTTGTTCCGTAATATGTTAAAATATCTACTTTTACTAAGGAAAAAAGAATCTAAGAAGTCAATGAAGTGGCATGAAACTTTTAAGACTATGTTAAATGTTTCAAATTTGTAAGTGTTCAACTTTTGAATATCTCTACTATAAAGTTTGAGTATGAGCCACAAAAAAAAAGTTCAAGGTCATCCTCAACATATCAAATTCACACCAGCTTAGGGTGAAAAAAAAAGTGTTCACAGTAATAATTTCAATCAATATTTTCAAAGTGCCCTCAATGGAATTTATATCAATCCTGCAATCCCAATTCACAATATTTAAATTTCAAGGGTAACAGTATTAGATTAGGAGGTTACAACATGAAAGATAGAAACGCTACATAAAATTAGAAAGCTGCCCATTTGACTATATTTTATTATCCTCAGGAATCAAAAGTCTCACAGAGAAAGACTGAATAATCACATTGGTCATTCATGTAAGCTGGGCCAAGGAACATCTTTTTCTTCTGTCCCTAAGCGAACCCAAATCAGTGAGAAGCAAAATTCCTAAACCCTCAGCACAGGGCCTGGTGGTCGGTGGAAGCGCTTTAGGAGAAGCCTTTGCAGTTTCCTCACTGTGTCCAACCTCTGGCCGTCCCACAAGTTCCTTCCACCGGTCTTTGGATCACAGAAGTAAAAATCCTCTCACTTAGGGCTGGGACACCCGGCAGAAAGGTTCTCTCCGCAGCAGGAAGGCGGGTCTTCTCCGAGGGGCGAATCCTGCTGCTTGTCGTCGGGGCGCGCAGCCCGGGAATCTCTCTCAGTCCCCAAGTCTGGGTCCCCGGGTCCGTGTCCGTCCCTCCGTCCACCCCACCCCCGCCCCCGTCCCCGGTTTCCCGCGCCTTCCCCGACCCTGCACGGCCTTAGCGCTCCCGGTTCGCCCACCCCACCTACCTGGTTCTTTTCGGTTTTCTCGAGCAGCACCAGGGTGAGCAACTCAGGTAACCCTGGCCGCTCGGTGCCGCCTCCTGACGTGACGTTTGCTCGGACAGGGGAGGTCCTCGAGCTGCAACACGTCATCACGTCGCGCGGCCGCCTAGTCAGGATTCTGGAGTGCCGCCGAGGCTGCTCTGAGTGCGGGGTTGGGGCGGCGGCGGCGGCGGCGGCGGCGGCGCTCCGGCTGCTGAGCCCTGCGAGCCCCGCACCTAGCCCATCTGCCGGGGCGGGCCCGGAGCCCAGGTGAGTGGCCGCAAAGATGGCACCCAGCGCCCCCACCTGCCCTCGGTTTCGGCCGCGGCCTTCGCCCAGCCTTGGTCTACCCCGAGTAGGACGGAGACGGGGGGCCGAGCGGGCGCTGGCCGGGAGCGCTGACCTGTCAGCTGCCCACTCACCTCCCTCAGCTCCTCCCTCAAGATGCCCTCTCAGCTGCCTCTTCAGCGCCTCCTTCAGCTGCCATCTCAGCTCTCCTCTCTGCGGCCCCCAGCTCCCCCCTCCTCAGCGCCCGCCCAGCAGCCCCCTCAGCTCCTCCTTTAGCTCCTCCCTCAGCCCCCCAGCTCCTCCCTAGCTGCCTCCTTAGCTTTCTCCTCAGCTCCCCCCTCAGTTTCCCCGTCAGCTGTCCCTCGCCTGCCCCTTCAGCTTTCCCCTTAGCCACCTCCTCAGCTCCCTCTCAGCTTTCCCGTCAGGTCCCCCCTCACCCCCACCTCAGTTTCCCGCTCAGCTCCCCCCTCAGCTCACTCAGCTGCCTCCTCCCTGGAAGGAAAGAATTTGGCGGAGAAACAGTTTAAGACGTTTATTTCGTCAAAGCTACTCTCCAAAGATTGAAGTGGGTCGTCCCCAAAGGTTGGGGGGAAGCACTCCAATGGGGTCTGCATTATGTATTTTAAAGAAGTTTCTTATATTTATGAGGTGGGTGGTTTATTTATGGAGGTAAGATGACCCTTTTTCCTCCCAAATCGTAATGGACCGCATCTCCTTTTTAGGGTATTTTTCCTAGTGATCTTGAAAAGCAGAGTACTGGGTCTCTGAGTTGGGGAGGGTGGGGGAGTCCAAACTACAACAGATACTACTACAATGAAGCCAGAGTCTCTCGAGGTTGCACTCATGTAGGCAATTTGGGAGTACCCTGGTGCCTTAGTTTTTGTTATAGCAGTACAGTAACAGCCTAAATTCTGTTTTCTACAGAAGTGCACTCTAATCATGGCAAGGCAAAGCTGCAGCTAATCAGGAGACACAGCTACCAAGATACAGCTGCAATTTTCCATGGTTACTGCCCATCTAACTCCTTGCCTACCTAGTGTTATACTTCCAGTTGTGGTGCTAGCTGTAAGCCTGGTGTTGTCACAGGAGAGCTTCATTTTTTTTTTTTCTCCTGAATTTAACCTTCTAGGATTTGATACCCCTCCCCCATTCAGAATGGAACCCTTCTATTCAGATGTTAACAAAAGTTCTAGAACCCTTAGTTTTTGAAAGGTGGAGAATGTGCCCAGGAAAGCAGATCACTGCACTGAGGTTACTGTCAGTTTTGATGCAAACCTTAAAGCCCAGTCATCGGCAGAGGCCTCTGGTAACACCCCAGGAAGTCTTCACAACCTATAGACATCTGCTGATAATCCATTGAATCCCCAGTGTTTCTCATATTCCCACAGTTGAAAGTATGTTGACTTAAGAAACGTTTTTGTTTTCAAATATGTGTACTTTAGTGGATCATCTCCTTTTTTTGTAAAATAGAACTTACAGAGTTGTTGGAAGGATGTTGAGAGTGCCTTTGATGTAACTATAAACAAAAAGAATTTGGAATCCTTTTTTTTTGGTCTTTTTGAGACAAGGTCTCCCTGTAGCCCAAGCTGGCCTGGAACTCAACTATGTAGACCAGCCTGGCCTTGAACTCATAGAGATCTACCTGCCTCTGCCTCCCAAGAGCTGGGATTAAAGGCGTGAGCCACCACACCCCACTGGAATCTCATTTTTACAAGTCAAAAATTATGATTGTGAGTTGTGGGCTTCAGAAAGACCACAGTTGGCTTGTTTGTTTTTTGTTTGTTTGTTTGTTTCTTGGCTCATTTCAGAAAGTTTTGAATCCCAAGAAAAGACATATTCATAACCATCTCCATTTCATTCCCCAGAAACTGTTCCTGAGGAGGAAAATAGTGTGACTGACGTCTGTCCACTCAGGAAAGTAGTCTTTACAGTGATTTTTTTTTTTTTTAAATACGTAACTATTTTATTTAACTGAGGTATACAAGAAAACTTTGCAATTTTGGTCATTCTCTGATATCCATAGGTAATTGGTTGGAGAAATCCAATAGATACCACAATCTGAGTGTGCTGAAGTTTTTTTGGTTTTTTTTGAGGGGAGTGTGGTTTTTTATTTTTATTGAAATGACGTCTCCCTGCACTCCCTGCTGGCCTGGAACTCGCCATATAGATAACCAGGCTGGCCTCAATCTCAAACAGATCTGCCTCACAAGTGTTGGGAGTAAAGGTGTGTACCACTACTCCTAGCCTGGTGTGGTTTTTTTGAGACAGTTTTGCCATGTGGCCTTGGCTGACCTAAAACTCATCATGTAGATCAAGCTGGCCTGAGTGTTACGATTACAGGGGGTGCACCACCACTCCTAGCTCTGAAGTCTTATATAAAATGACATACATCGTATTTGCATATCCTCTGTATACTTCTTAAAGGTGTGTACCACTACTCCTAGCCTGGTGTGGTTTTTTTGAGACAGTTTTGCCATGTGGCCTTGGCTGACCTAAAACTCATCATGTAGATCAAGCTGGCCTGAGTGTTACGATTACAGGGGGTGCACCACCACTCCTAGCTCTGAAGTCTTATATAAAATGACATACATCGTATTTGCATATCCTCTGTATACTTCTTTTTTGAGACAAGGTCTCCCTGGAGCCCCAGCTGGCCTGGAACTCACTATGTAGACCAGGCTGGCCTTAAACTCACAGAGATCCACCTGCCTCTGCCTCCTGAGAGCTGGGAGTAAAGGCATGCATCCCCCCCCCCCCCAGGCACTACTGTATACTTAAGCCAGCTCTAGATTACTGTAATACCTAATATAATATGTTATACTGTATTGTTTAGAGAAAATAAGAAAAAGTATATATTCAAAATTGGTCCTTTTCGATCCTTGCTTGATTGAATCTGAAGATATGGAACCAGGGGAATTGAGAGGAAGAAGACAACTTTTATTTGGCATTGCTAGGACTAGATCATGGTGTGGTGCCTAAAATAGGATATGCTGTCTTCTGGAAGCTTGCATTTGAAGAAGCCTGTTTTAAGTTCTTTAATTTGTAAAGGTAAATATGTATGCTTAGTTTCCCCTTCTTCAAATCTGCTTTTTTTCTCTTGTAGCTACATTATTCACGTACTCCCTTGTTCTTTCTCCATAGTGCTTGATGGGCGGCATTATGGCCCCCAAAGACATAATGACAAATACTCATGCTAAGTCCATCCTCAACTCAATGAACTCCCTCAGGAAGAGCAATACCCTATGTGATGTGACATTGAGAGTGGAACAGAAAGACTTCCCTGCACATCGGATTGTACTGGCTGCCTGCAGTGATTATTTCTGTGCTATGTTCACCAGTGAGGTAAATGGCAAGTCGTCACCACATAACTAAAATTCACATATGTGCCCTTGTAGTTCTCTCATTTCAGTGACTAGAATAGCATGTGAGGGTGATCTGGTTGTGACATCTGTCATCCCACTGAACAACCATGGTTGATTTGGTTAATCTGGCTGGCTAGCCAGGTGGTGTCCCCTTTTTTCTTCACTGCTCCTTGTGCTTCATTTCTGATGGAGAATGCTTTATTGGCCTTTTCCAACAGAAGACCATCTTTGGTTGAGAGTTAAGGTGCCCTTCTGTTAGAACTTCCAAACAAGCTCTCAGTGAATATAATAGAAGTTTTAAACCAAGCATGGTGGCTCATTTCTATAGTCCTAGCACTTGAGAAGTAGAAACAGGAAAAATCAAGAGATTTAGGGCCACTGGGCTACTGCCCCCCCCCCCAAACAAGTGCAGGGGATGTAACTTATTTGGTTAGGTGCTTACCTGACACACAAAGCCACAAATTTAAGGTCATCCTTGGCTATATAAAGAATTTGAGGCCAGTCTGGGCTACATGAGACCCTTTTTTTTTTTAAAGGAACTTGCCCACCTGAGAGAAGAATCATGAGAAAGCCAGAGATGCTGTGCTCTGCAGGAGTCTTTCATTTTATTTTTTTCATTTTCTTTTATGTATTCTAAGTGTATTGCCTGCATGTATGTAAGTGTACCCATGTCGTGCATTGCTCTCAGAGGTCAGAAAAGGGTGTCGGATCCCCTGGAACTGGAGTTATGGGTGGTTGTTAGCTGCCATGTGGGTGTTGGGATTCAAACCTGAGTCTCCTGCAAGAACAACCAGTGCTCTTAACTGCTGAGCCATGTCTCCAACTTGAGACCCTTTCTAAATAAATTAAGTAAATAAATCAGTAAAAATAAGAATAGGGCCAGCAAGATGACTCAGTGACTGAAGGTGCTACCAGAAGAGAACTGACTGCCTTGAGTTGTCCTATGACTTCTGTGTGATTATGTGTACACACACACATAAACACATACACACAAACACACACACACAGGATGGCTCAGCAGGTAAAGGAGCTTTCTGTGAAAGCCTGAAAATCTGAGTTTGATTCCCCAAAACAACATAAAGGTGAAAGAAGAGAATCAACTGGCCTTCACATGTGGACCATAGTACATGTCCACCCTTCCCACAGTAATACAAAAACATTTTGGAAGTAATAGCATAAATGTAATTATTTAAATTAAAAATAAAAATAGATTTTAAGGGCCTGGAGAGATGGCTCAGCAGTTAAGCTCATTGACTGCTCTTGCAGAGGACCCAGGTTCAGTTTTTAGCACCCACATGGCAGCTAATAACCATCCATAACTCCAGTTCCAGGGGATCCGACACAGCCTTCTGACCTCCACAGGCATTGGATGACACGGGTACACTTAACATACTAGCAGGGAATACACTCATACACTCCTTTAATCCCAGCTCTCAAAGGCAGGCAGATCTCTGAGTTCAAGGCCAGCCTGGTGTACTTGGTGAGTTCCAGGCCAGCTGGGGTTACAGGGAGACCTTGTCTCAAAAAGACCAATAAAATATTAAAAAAAAAAAAAATTTTTTTAAAGTTTATGGTAGAGGCTGAAGAGATGGCTGCTTTTGCATTGGACCCAAATTTAAATCCCAGCACCCACATGGCGGGTAACAGCCATCCATAACTCCAGTTCCAGAGAATCCAGCGCCCTCTTCTGGCCTCTGATGGTATTGCACAACATGGGTGCACTTACATACATGCAGGCATAACACTCATACACATAAAATGTTTAAAAAAAAACCAAAAGTCTATGAATCTTTTAAATTTAAGGTATGTGAATAATTATTATATAATTTAACTATTATATAATTAACTCCCCTGGAACTGGAGTTAAGAGTCCTGAAATATTTCATTATACTAAGGATTTTAGTTTAGATTTTTGTTTTTGTTTTTTGAGACAAGGTCTCTCTGTAGCTCCCGCCAGCCTAAAACTCACTCTGTAAACCAGGCTGGCCTCAGTCTCACAGAGATCTGCCTGCCTCTGCCTCCCAAGTGCTCGGATATTTGGGGAGTATTTTTGTTGTTGCTTGATTTGTTTTGATTTGATTGCTTTATTATAAAAGATTTTACTTTGCTAAATATTTTTCTCTATGTGTGTGCTTGCATGAGTTTTATGGGCACCATGTTTATGCAGTGCCAGAGGACATCAGATCCCCTAGAGCTGAAGGTTGTGAGTCTCCTGATAGGGATGCTGGGAACTGAACCTGGCCTCTCTGTAAGAGTAGTAAACTGTCTTCACTGCTGGGCCATCTCCAGACCCCTGGTTTAGTGTTTGTTTTTTGTTCTGTTTGATGGAGTCTTAATATATATATATATCCCCCAAACTAACTTCACTACTCCATCTTCCTACCTCAGCCTTCCAACTACCCAGACTAGTTATGTGCTACCACACCCAGCCATGATAAGACTCTTTAAAATGTATTGCTAACCATCAGTATTTTCTTTAGTTAGTACCCATCTCCAAAATAAGTAGTTGCTAGATCTAGATAGGTGAGAAAGTATAATAATAATGAGAGTAACTACATTTATGGGCCCAGCTACAGTGTTCCATTTGTCATGCATTTGTCATTTACCCTAGGGGTTAGTATTATCATCCCATTTTACAGTGAGCAAGGGTCTCAGTAAATGACTTTCCCAAAGTCATATAGCTTGTAAATACTGTGTAGAGGTGGGATTTACTTCCATATTTTCTGACTAAAGACCAGTTTTAAAATATTTTTTATTTATTTTTATTTTATGTGTATGTGTTCCATTTGTCATGCATTTGTCATTTACCCTAGGGGTTAGTATTATCATCCCATTTTACAGTGAGCAAGGGTCTCAGTAAATGACTTTCCCAAAGTCATATAGCTTGTAAATACTGTGTAGAGGTGGGATTTACTTCCATATTTTCTGACTAAAGACCAGTTTTAAAATATTTTTTATTTATTTTTATTTTGTGTATGAATGTTTTGCCTACATGTGTGTAAATGCACCAGTATCCTGCGATGCCTGCAGAGGTCAGAAGACAGTGTCAGATCTCCAGGAACTGGAGTTAT